CTGATCCTCTTGGATCTTTAGACCAAACAACAACCAAGGAGGGAGGTAGAGGTCCAGTGTGTAGCCATAGATAGGCCTAAATAAAATGTTTTTAACTGTGTACCAGTTTAACGTTGAATATTATTTATGATTTTAACATGTGGATTGTTTAACCTTTAATTTTTTTGGCCAATAATGTAAGAATGAATTAGAAATTTTAACTAAAAGACTTAAAACAAGATTCTGTGAGTGCCTATTGTTTCAGTAGCTTCAGAAACAGTAATGGCGGATATTCTTGAAGTGACGAGACACTCTACCAACATTGTGTCTCTTAACTACCGATACCTTACTAGTATCTCTATCAGAAACGTCATTACTTTCGAAGTATTATGATAAAGGACTGACATTCATAAATGAATTTAGCATTAACTAAGCTATTTAAATGGGCCTAGTTTTATTTGGTATTTAATCCTTCCGGTGGAAGGCGATCGTTTATCACACGCAACACGTTAAGTGGTGTAAACCAGTAATTACAATAAACCTGTTATTCATGCGACCGATAGGACAATCTGTTCCTAAGGGGGGGGGGTAGAAATACAACACAGTTTCACAGTCTAATGAAGGAGGGGAAGGTAGTATCTCATGGAACAAGGAAGTACGTTTCCCTCCAGCACTACGCGTAAATTATTTACCTAGCCTGAGAAGCAAGAACACATTTTTAATGGTACAACATCGAAGATCCTAAGGTGGATTGTCTCTTGGTTTAACCGACCAATTAAAACTAAGAAGAACGAAATAGTATAGGTGTCGCCACTGTGCTTTGAGTTGTTCTGTCTTTGGACATTGATGTTAACTTTATTAACTTAAAAAAAAACACACTTAAACACAGACGGGATTATTAAGTCCCATACTTAATATTGTTAAATACAGGTTGGATTATTAAGTCCCATACTTAATATTGTTAAATACAGGTTGGATTATTAAGTCCCATACTTAATATTGTTAAACACAGGTTGGATTATTAAGTCCCATACTTAATATTGTTAAATACAGGTTGGATTATTAAGTCCCATACTTAATATTGTTAAATACAGGTTGGATTATCAAGTCTCATACATAATATTGTAAAATACAGCCTGGAATATCAAGTCTCATACTTAATATTGTAAAATACACTTAATTACAGACTGGATTATTAAGTACGAACATTATTAAGTATGAGACTTGATAATCCAACCTGTAATTAAGTGTATTTTACAATATTAAGTTTCGTACTTAATAATCCAGTCTGTAATTAAGTGTATTTTACAATATTAAGTATGAACTTAATAATCCAACCTGTATTTTACAATATTAAGTATGAACTTAATAATCCAACCTGTATTTTACAATATTAAGTAACGAACATTGACGGGTTTCTGCACAGGTTGGAAATCATGTCCATCTTTTCAACGAACATTGACGGGTTATTAAGGAAACTAGAAATCATGTCCATCTTTTTAAAGAACATTGACGGGTTTCTGCACAGGTTGGAAATCATGTCCATCTTTTTAAAGAACATTGACGGGTTATTAAGGAGACTAATGAAACGAAAAATGGAATTTTACAATATTAAGTATGAACTTAATAATTCAGCCTGAATTTTAGCGTATTTTACAATATTAAGTATGAACTTAATAATTCAGCCTGAATTTTAGCGTATTTTACAATATTAAGTATGAACTTAATAATTCAGCCTGAATTTTAGCGTATTTTACAATATTAAGTATGAACTTAATAATCCAACCTGTATTTTATGTCGGGCGTGGGGGATGTAAATCTTTTACGTTGTTTAAATACAAAACGTATCTCACGGCAACTTCAAGCAAGTTACATCCTGTCCTTATATCAAAGAACAGACATATATTGACTTTAGTTTTGTTATATATGTAGAGTACATATAAATCAGTTAAATGAATATTTAAGTAATCGGACAACTTACCACACACACACGTTAAATTAACTGTTAAATCTTTAAACAAAGTGCCTTCAACACCTCCACATTGTTTATACAGAATACAGAGGCAGGGTGGAGTGGGCTTTACCAATAGGGGGCACTACTCAATAGCTTAACGTAGCTTCATTGTTTTCGTCTCTTCCAATTGACAAGAAGATTCCAGAGTGATACTCCTTACTGTAATGTAGGCACATTACAGGGGGTCTCTTTTTTTCTTCTTGCTCACCGGCACACCCATATCTATCAGTCTCGAAATGGTGACTCTGCACAGGTTGGAAATCATGTCCATCTTTTCAATTTTACCAATTGAATTGTGTGAGAGGGACTTGAATTTTACCAATTGAATTGTGTGTGTGTCACAGAGGGACTTGGCTATGCAGCTCTCTGCCGCAGGCAGACTGTTTGTCGTCGAGTGAATAATGCGCATGCGCGGTTTGTCTTGGAGAAACATTCTAACTACGCCTGCTTATGCAGCAGGTTCTCGGCCAGAAAGCGTAACGGTCGTACATACAAACAAGCAGAATAATAGTATAGATTATGTATACTGCCAGTGGTAACTATTTCAAACGAAATCCATTTGTTACAAGTTTTCATGACTTGCAGTGATTATATCTTTACGAAAATTTAGACTTAGGTGACATTATAATAGTTAGTTTGTTAGAGAATTGAAGTTTCAAAGTATATGTACTGTATGATAAGAAAAACCTATCAAACGTCCGTATAATATTAGATGCTTATTACAATAGAATTGTTTGTGTCACGGGGTGGAGGCTTGAATTTTACCAATTGAACTGTATGTGTCACGGAGGACTTAAAATTTACAAGTTGAACTGTATGTGTCACAGGAAGTTTACTAATTGAACTGTGTGTATCACAAAGAGTATTTGACAGTTGGACTGTGTGTGTCACGGTGAGACTTTAATTTTACTAACTGAATTGTGTGTGTCACTCAGTGATCAAGTCGCTACAATTGCTGTATGAAACAAGAAGTAACAACAAAAGGGGAATGTAAATATACTTTACTAACCATTTTGTTCAACAGAATATTAAAACTTATCAATGTTTTTAAAAAAGGTTTGACGTTAGGTCGTAGAATAACATTATAAGTTTATTTATCGATAGTATTAAGTACAGTATAGTTTAGTCCTAACTAAACTAAAGTAAAAAAAAGCGTACACAGGTTACAGTGTTAATATATATATATACATCAAATTTCTTATGTCCATGACTTTGTTGGCTAAAGACTTATTAATAGCACAAAACTATTCCGTACTAAACTTTTAAATAAAAATACAGAAAATGGGTGATCTTACCTTCTTATTTTCTCTTTAGTGTGTGTATTGAGGGGGAGGGGGAGTGCTGTGACAGATTAAAACAAAACTACTCAGTGATTCAATATGTAGACCCCCAAAGATAGGGAACGGTATTAATGTCGGTATTTTGAGAAGTTAAAATAGAATAAAAGCACTACTTAGTTCATCACACACACACACAAAAACAACTTTATATACATTCTCTGAGTTGTTGAAATTTCAATCTAACATTTAGATTGTTGAAGTTCTTATTCTATAGAATATTTGTAATGGTTTTATAGCTATAGAGATTGCTTGCAATGTCTTTGATCATGATGCTACTGTTCAAAAGATAGTGACCACATACACTTTGCTTGTGAGATATGGTTATCAAGCCAATGGATGAGTTAATCACAAGAAAATATCAAAATGTAGCTATTTTCCATCGCTTCCAATGCACTACTGCCATCCAAGATTCATAAGGCGGATAACCAAACTTTGGTGGAAAGGATATTATGAGAAATAAGGCCCATATAGCGGTGGGTTGCATAACTTTCACACTTACCTCTATTTTCTAACCTCAAAATGAAAATAAAATTATTCGGGTATCATAATTTCAAGAAGTAATATTTTGATATGCCA